TATATAACACATCATTTAATATTTAATTAAAAAAAAAAAAAAAAAATTGGAGTCTCAAACCAAACGACGTTGTTTTTCTCTCTAAAACCCAACCTTGCTGTTCGTCTTTTCTCTCAAAAATCCAGCTCCTACTCCTCGCCTCCTCCGACAATCATCTCCATCTCCTTCTCTGCCCCTTCTACAATCATCTACATCGCCTCCTCACCTCCTCACTCAAAAAGCTGACCAATAATGTTGCCCTCTTTGCAATCATCTCCATCTCTCCCTTTCTCCCTTTCCCCTCATGTGAGGTTGAGGCGATTAGAAGCCAAGACACATAACCACGCCTCCTCATGAGCTTGAAGTGCCATAGAACAGAAGAAATCTAGATTTGTGTTCCTTTGTCACACGAGCTTGAGGGAGTTGCAAACCAATTTATTTGGGTTTTGCAAGTTTGGTTGCTATGATTTTGGTTATAATAGTGTTGAAATTGACTGATGAGAATTGAAATTGCAATTTTAGTTATAATAGAGGAAACCCAAATCTGGGTTTGTTGTCTTCAAAGATGCCTGAGTTCTGCTCCTCGTCTTTTCTCTTTCCCGAGTTCTGTTCACAAATTGAATTTATGAGTTTTATTATTATTATTATTATTATTATTATGTTGTTGTTGTTGTTGTTGTTTTCTTGGCTGCATTTGATTATGGGTTGAAATATGCTTGTGCGTTTAATTCGAAATTCAAGTTTGTTTCATTATCAAGAATGAGAATTTCGATTTGAATTTTAGTGTTGTGAAAAGATTACTGCAAATGGGATTTGAACTAAATTTGTTTTTCTTGCGTGGGCTCATTAATGATGGTTTTGATTGTTTTTTATGTTGTGTTGCTCATCTTGCCTCTCGGTTTCGTTCAGTTTCATGTTGAATTTTTAATTTGTTTTTTCCTCTTAACATCCCCATTGTACTACCAACACTTTGGAGGGGAAAGCATGGCAAGGCTTCAAAGATCTAGGTTTGTTGTCTTCAAAGATGTTGCAGCATTTATTTTCTTTTCTAGGTTTAGTTTTGAATGGTCTAGCCATGGTTGCTTTCTTAATTTCCTCTCATTTCCATATAGATTTTGGAAACCCAAATTTGGGTTTGTTAATTTATTTTAAATCTTGCTTGTTTCCTCTGATTTTCATACAGATTTTGGTTATATTTGTATTCTTTTCTTATTCTCTTATCAATATTATTCCAATCAAAAGATTGGATTTTCATTTTCTGTTTTTGTTACCTTCTTGGCTGCGAGAGATTGTGGGGTTTATTGTATTTTGTAGGGGCAAAGTCGAGGAGGTGAGGAGGCGATGGAAATGATTTCAGAAGGGGCAAAGAAGGAGATGGAAATGACTGTCAGGGGAGGCGAGGAGTAGGGGCTGATTTTTGAGAGAAAAGCTGAACAGCAAGCTTCAGTTTTTGAAAGGAAAATGTAATACCCCAAAAATTTCTAGAATAAATAAGTGAGTAACGGACTAACTTGTGAGAAAATATTATTTGGGGCTTGACGGCCAACATTTCAAAAGTTGAGGGACTTAAAGAGGGAAAATAATTGGATAAGGATCAGTTTCTTTTCTTTTTCTTTTTTCTTCTTTCTTTTCTTCCCAGTCGTGCCCGATTCTGCTCTTCTTCTTCCCGCTGCATCCCGACAGCCACCCCCCCCCCCCCAAGCTTGCCGACCTGCATGCTTGGAAAAAAAATTGGAAAAAAAGCTTGAAATTCCTTATTCTTTCTTGTTCAATCACAAGATTTAAAGCTTAGAACTCTCTCCCTCAACCCAGAAATTTCGGATCTGCTCTGTCCTTCCTCCCCTATCCGCCGGCTGCTAGTGGGTATGCGAATTTCTGGGCATTTTTCTGGTAAGATTCAGTCAAGAAATCATCTCTTTAGCTTTGATTTGGGCTTGGGTTTGCTTTAATCCCTCTTGGTTCTTGAATTTTTCGGTAGATTGCGTGATTCTTCCCTGCACTCGCCGCCGGCCTCTTCCCCAATCTGCAGTCTGGTTTTTTCTGGGAAATTCTGGTATGGACAGCTCCTCCAAGCTTGAAATCTCATCATTGGTTGCTGAATTTTGTCCATTTCTTTGCTGGCTGTGTTGTCCGAATTTTACAGAAAAATGGGGATGAATTTGGGTAGTAATTAGACCATGATTTAGCTTAATTCAAGTGGGATTTATGTGATTGAGTGTTAATTGATTGCTGTGAGATTTTTGGAGAAAATCCCGTGAGATTAGCTAGTGTTTTGGCCAATTTTTGGAAGTTCAGTTACTGTTCACGTCGTGGGTACTGTTCACACACCGAGGGTCAACAATTAACAAGAATTTAAATGATTAGTTTGTGATATAAGAACGAATTTGAAGATATTTGATCATGTGAAAATTGATAAGAATAGCATCGTGATTAAGGGTAGTCTTAATGAGGATTTCACTTGAATTTGTGATAGTACAATAATTAATTTTTGGATATTTTGATTAGGTTCCTGATCGTTCTGTTAGTTTACCACTGAGATCGAGTCTTCGGTTTTATGCGAGTGAGGCAGGTAAGTTTATGGTAATGCTCGTATAATTTTAAAAGCATGTTTTGATTTGTTTTGAAGTGGTTGCGGGACTAAACCTGGAATTTTTATGCTTTTCATTAAATTGAGCATGCCTACTTAAAATTTAATTGATTGTCCTTATGATTTGAAAGTGATTGGTGAATTATGATTTTTCTGTTAACTTCTGCCTGTTTTGTCTCCGATGTAGTTATGTTATTGATAACCCTGCTAGTGGGGGTTAAATGCTAGCACATGTCGACATGTATTTTTGGAGAGCCGGTTCCTCCTGCCAGCGGGAGTTGTTAAACACTGGTATCTCTGTAATCCTGCTAGTGGGATTTTACACTAGTAATTTTTGTAGCCTGCCTATGAGAGGTTTATAACACTGGCCGTGACCTATAGAGGAGACGTCTATTTCGTTCCCATACTTGTATCTGTTTTTTTTGTTACACTTGTTGACATGCTATACATTTAATAAGGGCACTCCATATTTTACTTACTGGGTTTATCTCATAGTTTTTCCTTGTCCACCATTTCAGGAAGTGAAACCGAAGACGGGGAAACCACGGGAAGTGACGAGTTAGAAGGTTAGCCATTTTGAGATTGATATAGGTTTTAGAAATAAATTATGATCTTGTAAACTCGAGTGTATTTGGAGATTTTATGATATCAGAGCAGATTTTAAGATTTGATCTTAAGATTTTGATCGTATTAGATTATGAATTGGATAAGTTTCGAGTTTTGTGCATTTGTGGAACCTTCTCACGAGTGCACGGCATCTACCACGTTCCCGGATCTGGGTTTTGAGGCGTGATAGAAAATGACGTCTTTTTATTTGAGATCCCAATTTTTGTTAAGAGGTAGGACTGATATTCACTTTTTTTTCATAAATTAATTAATATAAAACTGATAAAATATGGTAACTTAAAAGAGTAAGAAAAAAATAACACAGTTTTAAAATTGTAAATTTGTACTTATCAAACAACGATACAACAGATTTTTTGCAGCTGAATTTCAAAGAATTATTATTTTAATATTTGTCTGCTCATTTATCAAGTACAAGCTTGCATCGTCACTCACGTGACAGTTGCGGCTGTTTGCCCGGAGGAACTTTTTCCTTTAAATTTTTTTAAATTTTTTCTTTCTTTTTAACACAGGAAAATTTTGGAAAACGAAAATTTTTTTCAAGTTAATAAGGATAGAAGAATAATCTAATGAAATAATTTAATGATTAAGAACTTAATTTTAAATTTGAGTCTTGAGTTTGGGTAAGGAGAGTTTCAAGAATAAAAAAAAATTAT